ATAGACGCTCTCAGTGGGGTTCTTTTATACAGGCTTATCGGCGACAGCCACTAAATCACAGCGTGCGGAGAAAACTTCAAATGCTGGTACACTGAAAAGCCTGAGAAAATATATAGCACGCATGTGAACAAGAGGGTGAAATGAGCTCTGTTGAACGCCGACGTTTTATCACATTTCTTGACATTTTTTTCTGTGACCAAAACGTGAGTGGCTAAACGACTCTCCATTTAGTTCTGCACGTCCCGGTTTAAATTAAATCTGACAATAGAGATCCGGTAGACGGTACCAGAGACAGCGCTGTTCATTTTGGTTTTGTAGAATGAATGCTGCGTGCGGACGGGTAAAGAAACTGATAAACCCGTGCACGAGACTCCATATCCGAGCTTAATCTGATGACGAACCGGCTCAATCTACGAGAGGTCGTGTCCTATTCGGTTCTGCTACCAGGCGGATGCGCGGCTCCCTTTCAGAAGATTGGCGAAGAAGATTAAACGAAACATGTGGTCTCCTTGGCTACAGGAGCGTCGGGTCGGCTCGTAAACCGGGATGCTGCCCGTAACTCGTCACGTGGCGGGTTTGTGACCGTATAAACTCCCCAGGGGGATGCTCTGAGCGGCGCGGGTCGGGTCCGCCGACCCTGAGATCATAACACGCAGCAAAGGTCGCCGCCTTTGATTTTATGCCTCATCGTCTCCACCTTGGGTGACTCGTGCCGTGCTGGTGGCGCAATCCTTTTTGCATCGTCGGACTCGGTAGCATGGCGGATATATTACGAGATGTTGATGTTCGATTTGTTGTTCGCAAACGGACGATTTTTCGCTTGGTTTCGTTCAGTAAGGTGGTAGGTACAGTTTGTGTATCCTACATCTTAGTGAGATTATCAATGATCGCTTAACGAAAAAATATCTGTTCATATCTATTCTGATATCAGTCATGGGCTAGTCGAATTCATTTCTCAACAATAATCGCCGCTGGCTGGCCACCGCTCGCTCGCCGCTCGAAATGGAGGCTGTGCAGTACAGCCTATATTCAGGCGTAACCACTACTGCCATCTATGAGAAACTTTACACACCTCGCGGTGCAGCCTGCTTTCAGGCGCTAACCACTGCTGCCATCTATCGACAGATGTATGAAACCGTGCTCTACACTGTTGTGGAGCGGAAAGGGTTGGATAAAGATGTGTGGATCCTCATTCAAATAAAACGGGAAAGGAAACGCAATGACTTGCGCAAGGTGCTATGCTCCAGCATATACAATTTCGTACCGCTATGTGTGGTAAAAACACATATGTTTCTTTAAATATGCGTTTTATCTTATCATCTTATCGTTTGTGAGATGATAGGCAGCCCACAATTCATATTCAAATTGTGCAAATATAAAAAAATTGGAATGAGAGTTTTGACGAGACCAAGATTTCCGATGAGCATCCCGCCTGCACTCAGTTGCTATTGCGATGTTATCTTTATTACTAAAAAAACGCACCACATTAGAAACTGTCAATAAACACCTGTTGTGTGCAGAGACGATGGAAAAAACTGCATTCTGGCCATACGAGCGTGTGATAATTGCCACAAGTTCCTGGCAGCCAGAATACAACGAATGAACGAACTCCGCACGTTTGCCATCGTCAGTATCGATTCTCTCCCCACTCTAAGCCATTCTCGCACAAATCCTCGGGCCGTCGACCGGCTGCCGTCAAATCAAAGTCGCCAATCTGGGGCTCAGCGACGACACACACCGTCCGGTGACCGCGTGCTGAGCCGATCGAGCCACTCTCAGAGGTCACAGGTCACCGGACGGCGACTCACGCCGTGCCGGTACTCGTCAGTGAGGAGAGCTCTGCGGGGTGCTGACGACCTCTGATTTAGTATCTTTATAATATTTTTATGTGACATTCTAGGTACACTTGCAAAATATAAATGTGTTTGTAGAGCCATCGGAAACGTCGAACCATCTATCAACTTTAGAGCATGATCACACATATAAAAATGCATCATTATCTGATTCTGACAATATTGGGGAGGATATTCATTAGGTGAGCATGCAAAAATCATCCTCATTTCTCTTTGCTCAGCAGCGGCGATAAAGACAGAGGCAATCCACCTGAAAATCCATTATACGATCCTCCGTGAGAGCGGTGAAGTCTGCCGCCTGACTGAAGTTCCCGGACCGGGCTGCTATTTCTGACCACGGGCTGTGCCATCTGCTGTCGTTACACAGAGCTGAAGGGTGGCTCTCAGTCTCCAACTCTGCTCCCGTGTCCACGGCAGGTGTCCGAAAATACACGTCCAGAGGGCAGCTGCGCAGTGAGGGACCTTTTATAAATACCCACCGACCTGTCGTTCCGCGAACACATAATAATGCCATGTAGCATGTTACAAATGGGCTATTAACTTTTTCAGAACCCTAGTCTTTTATGTAATTAGTTTCATTTGGTCTAAGGTTACCGTACAACGCAAGAAAATATGCTTAAAACTAAATTGGTTTTAGATGTCATATGCAACGTGTTTCTACATTCATTACGGTTAAGCAAATGTGGTTTGTACGAAGTTTCTTTGCATATTTATGATCTAGTGTAAGCCGAGGTTTTGCCATAATTACTCATCCTCAATGAGTGTCATGAACCAATGTCGAAAATCATTAAGCAGTCACTTATATACAAAAATTGTATGAATATTGGTACCTATACAAGTAACTAAAGTGTATTGCAGCTCATTCATATGTTTCATATTCATCGACTGATTACAGATTGAAGTTGAGGAAATCGACGAGAATGGGCCCAACAGGACATCATGTCTCTCGTCCCGATAACGTGAAGATGAAGATGACGATATTTAGATATGGGAAAGCTCGATAGTGATATTCCAGTACTTAAAATAATCCAGTTCAGTCTGTCCACGGTTCAGGAATGCACACAGCGACTCAACAGGACATCAGTTCAGCTGAACAGTGTGGTCGGTGGTCGATGGTCGGTCGATGAGTATCGTTCGACCAGCTGCTTTGAACTGACCCAAGGTCGCACCTGGACTGAACCTCGAACTGCACCTGGCCAAAGCGCCGGTCGGCCCTCGGTCCTCGAGTCGAGAACAGGGTTGTATACGACTCAATCAATAGCAATCAATTCAATCACGACAAATTTGGGAAACCAATCAAATCAATCAAGTCAGAGGAGTTTTCGGGAATTGATTCAATCGACTCAAACGCGACAATGAAAGGAATCAATCAACTCAATCAAACGACTCAAACCAAGATATACATTAGGTTTTTTGCCCCACCAACTTGGAAAAGTGTCCATAGCAGTCTGGTGTACCTACCTACCTACCTACCTACAGAAGAAACAAAAATATTGTCATTTAAAATTATAAATTGCCATGCCATTCAAAGTTTCTATGTAATAAGGAAGGATACCTAGTGATGGACAGGTGGATCATGATATTGAGGTTCAATGGGTAGAATTGGAGCAGAAGTTTCATTTAATGGGTGCAAAATAACCCAGTAGTTGACTTCAACAAACGCCCCTTAACCCAAATCACCACCTTTCACCTAAAAGTTGTCAATTTAATTTTGGCCATATTCCAGCTAAGTCATCAGGCCATCTACCCCATGTAAATTGTAAAGCCCCCGTCTGTCTCTTATGTGAGTTATGCGGAGCTCTTCTGAATTGAGCCCTGAACATAATGAACCTAGCTAGGTTACATGCCACACTGACACCATATTGATATGAAAGTGTTGAAAATGTGCTATAAATTTGACAACTTCATTAGGTATGCTTTATGAAGACAGCAGGAAAGCAGGTAGGTCCCTACTTACCTGCCTAGATGTGTCACTGGCTACCAACAGTACCAACGAAGGTAGATAGGTTATATGTGAAGAATTCAAAACATTTTATTGCAATACAATTTGAAACTGTTAGGACTGGGGGATAGGGATGAGCATTAAAAATATATTTAAAAGGAAATGGAAAGGACAGGGACTCTGGAACCACAGGATAAGTTAAGGACAAAGGAAGAAGAACAAGGAAAATTAAATGCCGTTGGTGCGACTGCGAAAAAACAAAGAAAACGTTTTGCCAAGAAGTATGCTAAGCTTTTATAAATCCTTATTCTTCGTCTTTTGATTTTTTGGTAAGATGACGTCATTGATTATCATGTAGTATGGTAGATCATCATAAAATAAATCGGTTGTACAACACCAATTTCGTTTTAATTATTATTTCAATTGAAATAAAACCACTTAATAATATTCGGTAAAATATTTTAAGGAAAATGAAATATATTAAATATGTTATGCCTAGGCTCTCAGGAGAAAAGGATCAACAAACGTTCTGCTGCAAATTAAACAATGCAGCAAATTATTAATGTAAACGTAATTAGCGAGACGAAAACGGCGCTTTGTTTCAGTTATTTTTGTAGGGGTTTCAGATATTTATAGAGTTCAGTGGGTTGTTTCTGAGGAGATGTGGAGATGTGAATTAGTAATTAATCACACTTTATTAGTATATAGGGCCTTGCACTTTATCATCTGGATTAGAAAAAAAAAATTCCTGCTGATTGCAGAAAGGTAGGTAGGTGCATCGCCAGGCTCTATCACAGGATTGGAGCAGTTATTGCAGTTGAAAGTCAAAGTTGGCTGTTCATGTTTAGGCCCTGTTCTTTATTTGGCCATCTACTCCATATTGCAGTTGTGATGACAAGCAGTTTTCAGTGTAGTTTTGTGATCTTTGATGTCATCAATTGGTGTCATTATTTTTCGTCAACTAAAACTTATTTCAACTTTCCATTCAATCGACTCAATCATACGAGTCACTTTAATTTTCGGGAATCAAATCAGTCAACCAGTCGCTAAAGTCAAACGAGTCAGTCAACCAGTCATCTCGAAAAGTCAATCGACTCAATCCAATCAACTCAAAATACGCCCTGAATCAAATCAATCAATTCAATCGACTTGATTGGTATACAACCCTGGTCGAGAATAACCAGCGACGGTGCTAAACTCTGAACTCCACGAACCGGATAACGGCCGTATATTTGTATCGCCACCATGTCATGACACCTAATTTTGACATTGATCACAGTGGATATGACTAGAGACAGAGCGTTGTATCCCTCAGCTGACCACAAATGTCAATCCACACACGTGACTGTTCGGATGACGTTTTCTTTCGGATAACATTCCCGGATCCATCTTCATTTCCAGCGGGGATATTCCCCGCTAAATGGTCCTCCGCTCACCATAGATGCAACATTTTTCATTACCAATGAGATGGAGATCAGGGGCAAGAGCCAGCGACAACACACTCTACAAAAAAGCGGCTTTATCTGATCCGCTCACTCCTTTGTCTATGGTCGGTTCGGTTTTCATAGATCACCATATCTCAGCGCGACCAGAAATACTTTCTCAATCAGTCATGACCTTTTTCTTATCGCGTTGGATTTCTGGACAGATCGGTCAGCAATTCTCGTACTCTCGTCCGCCAGCACACTATCCTCATCCCATCCATCTTTTTGTTTGCTATCACTTTTTTGTCTTTATTTCTTCGACGGTGTGCTTGCCTGAGATATTCCTATCGGGGGGTTTTAAGATTTTACCTCTATGGGTGGCAAGCGGCCCACAACACACGCGCTAACCCTTGCAGCCATAACACTTGCCTTTATACGCAAAATAGACACATTCTATGATTCACTTTAATATCTCGACAGCTTTTGAGCCGGATATGAAAGCATTCTCTCAGTCTTAGCATTTCTCATAACTCCTTCACCCGCTGCTTTCATAGGCTAGCCTCTGTCGTTGGAATACTAAGCACTCAGTCCGGCCTGCGATGCTTCCTTTAGGGAGACAACCCAGTATGAGACATGCCCTTTCATTCACCCGTGTTTTCCGTTAGTGTTCGCCAGTCGCGGTGACGTCACTCTGGACTCTGGTGACGTCATAGCGCGGCGGTGCGTCCGGCTGGATGCTGATGAGCTGAGCGGTGGCCGGTACCGTGGCCTCTGTGGGGCTGGGAGGCGCGGCCTGAGAGCGGTACAGAGACCGCTGCTCACCGCCGCCCTCCCGGGCCGCCAGGGCGTTTGATTTCACCTGCACGAAGGAGGGAGATTGTTACATAGAATAGAAGGAATACGGGATGGAAGACACAGTAAGGCAGAAAGGTAAGTTTATTAGTTAAGAACTCAAGAGGCCGATAAGCGCTCTGTAAGCTGGAGCTAGTCGCGACAGTACAACATGCCAGACACACGAGAATTTCGGTGCCAATTAGTGGCAGTTGGAATGTGGGCTGCTCAAGGGAAATTAAAGCTATTTATCTCAGATTAGTCTGACCAAGTTGGATTAACTTTTACTTGAGTTCTCGTCGGAAGATGGGAAACTGAAATGAGCCAGGGCTAAGAAATGCGAAAACTTTAATTGGCTACAGTAAAAAGTAAATTTGATACGGATAAGGAATCCCAAAGGCATATTGATCGACTCGCCACAATGAGCTCTGAACACTGACAGGCATCATTTGCAGTATCAGATAGATGGACCTGATCATGCCATCCACACTCCAGCAACATTGTAAATTAAGTGGACAGTCCTGCGAGATAACACATGTTTGACCACTGAAACCATCAGCCTACCGGACTATCGTGACTGGGAGACCAAGCGATAGATGAAAAAGTCAAACAGACCAGGACCATTGACCAAAGAGTGACCCCTAGCCATGCTGCAGCAACGGACACGTCACTGTGACCACTGACCACTGACATCTGTAGCATCAGATAGACTATTGAACACTGAACAGCCTGCAGGATCACACAGACCACTGACCATCGACCACAGACCACTGACCATCGACCACAGACCACAGACTGACCGCCGGCAGACCATTGACCTACCTGCAACATCAGACAGACGGAGACCAGGGTGCCCGTGGCGCCCATGCAGGCCGCGGTCAGCGCGGCCAGCTCGGCAGCCGTGACGTCCGAGGCAGCCGTCAGCAGCGCCAGCGGCGGCGGCAGCAGCACCAGCAGCAGCAGGAACGAGCCGGCCGAGGCCAGCAGCAGTAGTGAGAGAATCAGCAGCGGCCGGACGCAGCCGGCCGGCCGGCAGCAGGCGCGCCGCCGGCGCCGGCCGCCCTCCGCCGGCCCCGGCCAGGACGACTGGTCGCACTGGTCCTCCTGCGACACACGAACGCACGGTATTAAATAACAGTTTTTTTTTAACTGCTTTCAATCAAATAAGAATCTGTGATCTGTAAAATATATGCATCAATCGATACACTGATGAGGCTTAGCGCCTTGGTCTACTGGATGTGGTGCTTAACCCAAACCGACCAACCGATTCACTGATGACATAATAATCACACTTAGTTGGACCACAAGTAATTATCATTGAGGTGTAACCTTCCCTCATGGCTACGAGTGATATTAAATCCCTTAAATTTGTATTGCTTATTGCAATTTCTTGGCATTACTCAGGATGTGTAGCCGTTCCGGTCCTTTGCTGTCAGAGCAGCTTGTGAAGATGTTATAAAGCACTTGGTCATTTCGACTAGATGGCCGGAATCAAGGCCGGAATACTCTCCGACAATTGGGTGCACTCAGTTAGTCCATTACCGCACAGCAAGGGCACAGACGGTCTTATAGCGGGCAGCGCCGAGGAAAACATTATTCTGAGAGATCTTACCTAATATTTTTTTTGCGATGTTTGCGTTTTGCGGCGGACGGGCGTTTTTTTTGCGGCGTTTTTTGCGTTTTTTTCCGGTTTTCGGCGGGCGGGCGATTGTTTCTTTTTTTGCGAAGTTTGCGTTGGCGTTTTGCGCGTTTTGCGCTGTTTGCGTTTGGCGGCGGGCGAGCGGTTTTTCACAATAGGGTTGGGACCTATCTGCATGCTCTGTATGTTTTGGTAAAATAAAAAAGCTCAGAATTTTTAATGATTTAATTTAAAATCACTTTGTTAAAAAAATGCCTAGTTAGTTCAGAAATTAATTATTTGTGGCTGAAAACGACTTGCTTCTGATTGGTCGGGCTAATCATGACGTCACATGTAGGTATATAACTGTCTGTATATTTGGCGCAGTTGAGACATACATTTTCTATGTATTTTCCTATGGTAAATCGGAGTGATTGGTCGTGTTTTCAGTGTCTCTTTATTTTGCGCTGGTATTGCGTGGCTAAGAAGTTTTATCAAGAATGGCATATACTAAAATGTTCCTTTAATAATGGAGCTTCAATATCTGTGAGTTTTATTGGCAAGCGAAAACTGATTTCGCTGTTATTTTATCTGGAAATTACTCATTTTTTTTAGGTCAATATTCAAAATATTTTACGGGAACAAGTTGGCACTTTTCTTGATTTTTGCACTCAAATCGCGTGCGATTCGACTGTATTGGAACTTGCAAAGAAGCTTGGTGATTAATTAACTGTATTGTTATGGCACTGTTTGCAAAGCATGGATACCTAATGAAACTCTGCCAAAGACTTAGCTACATAGCAATGCCTCAAGTAATACGCAGGAGGGACAGAATTCAGAGTCCGATCGAGAAGAATCGGTGCAAATGCTACGAAGACCAGGCAGCTCTGATACAATAGCTAGTCGTCTCACTACTCTCACTCCATTAGACCAGCTGATTCCTGACAGCACCGACTCGGATGCAAAGATGGAGCTCATCTTCCAAGCCAGAAACCAGTTCTTTGATGGAAGATGTGATGCTGCCTCTGTCTCTGCTTTGTTGGCCACTTTGGACGGGGCGGAGCTCCGCTCCTTGCGTGAGCGGTTATTCGCCTGTCATCCAGAAATAGTTCCTTCGTTTGCTGGCCGTTCCCTGATTAGGTGCAATACGGGGAGCTGTAATCAGGGAAGTAACTTTCCTTATGAAAGGGGTGCAGGTGCACCCCCGTCCGCCATCCACTAGAAGTGCACCCCCATAGGCTAAGCGGCGCCCCACACGCCGCCCCACACGATTAGCTCTAGAGCAGATGGCGATGGTGATTTCTCGGCTACATTCCATCTCGGCGTCGTGATGCTTGTGGGCTTGGAAAGCGTCCAGTCGTATGTAGGGTAGTGTAGGGGTAGGGTTGAGTTCAATAAGGTCCTTACATTTGAAAGGTTTGAGCAACCCGCAATCAGCACAACATACCACAAGTTAAATAAAAAACTACCAAACTCCGCCCAACTAATACCTATTAATAAACATTACAGCCAAACTAATGGCCTAAATAAAAATGTATCTCAAATCCTAACAGTTATCGCGTGTGATGGCGCCATGAGTTGCTATTATCCAAAACAGATGCAAATAAACATGTTTGTAATGTCCTATGTATGTTTGTTTTAAAAACGTTGCAGCGGCGCTGGGAACTGCAGTCTTAGATCTGGGTATGTTTGGCATCTGCAACTCTTCATATACACATTAACCCTATTTCGGACGGGGAGACCTTTCAGGATTTTCTTGTACAATTGCCAAACGCCGCGAGACATTCAGCTCATATTTGGTGACTTTTCCTAAATGCTCATTGCGCACATCTCAGCAAAAAAAAAAAAAAATGCCGGGTCAGGTCAGGTCAGGTAACCAGAGCGGGTTTGTTGACCCCACCTCAGAAAAGTTTGCAAACACGTCAGAGCTTGAGTTTTTCACGAAGTTATTTCCTCTCATCAAGTCTTCAAAACAGTACCTGCAGTATGTGTCGTTTGTATATCTCAGAATTTTTTATCTGTGACCTGAGGTTAGGTCAGAGTCGTGACCTTTACATTGCAAGCCTATGGAAAAGTATTGAAATGCGACCTGCACCTCGAGTAAACGAGTCAAAACCACCCAATTCTTTAAGAATTATGACAAATTATCGTATCTGTAATGATCCAGGTGCCATTTACTGACAGGGACACCGGAGAGGGTTATCTGAGCCGAGATCATGTGAGGTGATATCTACCATACATCAATGCTCACAATACTTACAATATTGACAATGCTTTTGCTTACAACACTTACAATACTTACGATGAGCCAGCAGGCACTCTGCCGTTACAGTTCTAACTTCTGTTTCGAAAAACGACGTTACACACATTCGCTGCCAGCATAACATGTATTGTTTGACAGTAACAAAATACAATTGACATCTGAACCCCAAACGGACCGCCATCCACTCAAATTTTATAACCCTGACCGGTCAGGGGGCGAATGGAGGTCATTTCCTGGGCATTACACTCAGCCCTTGCACAAAATATCTCACCTGACAGTGATCATTACAACAATAGCACCGACTTGATAGTGGATTTCAAAGTACTTGCATCAGCTCTTCCTGCTATTGCAGACGATCATCTCCTCAGGGTAATGTTGTTCGGGACATGAACGAAGATCGTTTTCGGAGTTTCATAAGTGCTACTGCAACAGCCTGGCACAAAACAGGACTTGTACGCTCTTCTCTGCACTTTGTCCTTCAGTATATCACAAAAGAATTGTTTAGAATCCATCTTACGCTTCTTTCACAGTCTCCCTTGCCACCGTAGGGCGTAGATAGATTGCTGTTGCTGGTAAGTTAAGGCACGGTAGATAGAAATTACCTCGGTTCTCAACGCCTTAAGTTATTTTCATAAAAAAGAACAAACAAATGATTAATAAGATGACAGGAATGAAAACATTTTAAATTTTAATCGTAAAGTAGTCCAAATATTGGAATGAGCTTTTGCTTTTCAGCATCCTCCGATTCATCATCTTTATCATTTGAAAATTCGAGGTACATAAAATGTTTATCACGCGCTCATGTTAAGTGGGAATATAGTACACGGCAGACACATCAATTTTTGACACTGAACATTTCATCCGTAAATGTTTTAGCATAATTTAAAGTTAAAAACAGCGCGAATGGCAGAGTGAAGCAAACAACATCTTTCACCCATTGATATAACATGTAATCTGTGGTGCGCCAGATGCGCCATTATTTGTCAACCGCAGAAGGTGACATGTGACGTAACAGCATCAAGAGCATCTTTTTTCAAGAACTTTTCAAAACAAGTTTCCTATCTTTCTTCCCCCATTTCTCTCAGCTTATTGATTTTATGAGGCAATGGTATGCACCATAAATTCTGTGAAAATAGTTTGATCATTTTCATGCATTCTTCAAAAATCGAGTTCCCAACCCCATTCAAGTCCCAACCTTCGGATCCGCAGTGCTGTTCGACAAGCGCTGCCCGGGCCTTTTCTGGGAGATCTTAATAAGATTTCCACGATATGTGACCAGCCGCAAGATGAAAAGTGTCGGCCACTGCTGTATCGTGTACCTATTGTTTTCTGCTGTTCCAAGACCTTCAGATTGGTGATCCTTTGCAGTATTGACAGTGCCTATTTCGATATTAAATGTGGAGGTCAAAGTATTCGCACAGCGCTAAAGCATCCTACAGTGAAAGACGTCAAAAGAGGAATTTCATGACCTCTAAAAACAGCATTTTGAACTATTTTAAAATGGCGCATGCAGCTAGTTTGAAATGACCCGATATTTTTAATGTCGTCTGACACTCACACATGGTTTGTGGTTCATTATCTCGGACTACCTTTGTGGAATGCTCGTAAAGTTATAACTTATTGGAAACCTCATACCATCCCCATGAAGAGGCGACCGGCTCCGAGCATAAATGTCGCGGCCACATCAAACGGGTAGGTGGCAGGTTCACAGAAGCATATAGCCTTACATATGGCATTCAGCAAAAAACACTTCAATCTGATCTCGGTATCCGTTGCACGCCAGCCTGAGCGGGCGCTCAATCCGACTGTGTTGGTGGCCACTAAGCCAGCTCTTGTCAGGCTCCAAACATAACTCAATTACCACTTCCACCAGAGCCCGAGTCCCGCGGGAGAACCGGCTCCCGACCAATCAGAGAACGGGATACCTCTTACGTCACAGGTACTACATCGATCACCGCGCCATTGTGGCCGAGCCGGACTTTGATATGCGCTAGAATGATGATAAATGTCGGCAGGTGTTTGGCATTTATTCATACTTAGCTTCACTAAATTTATCCGTCATTAAATCAGCAGTTATTTTACGTCATTTGCCCACATGCGGGTACCACCATGGGCGTCAAACCAGCGATCGTGTCAACTTATATCTCGATATGATAATCTTCTCTTTGCTCGAAGAAGAATATACCATTTAAAATATATCTTAAAACTATAAAAAAACGTTCAAGATAGCGAAAATGAATAGTTATTGTAAATGAGGATCATTAAAGTAAAATATTACCTTCTATTGGCACATGAAACATAATTTATAGAAAGAATTAACTAACGAGCTTTTTGAGACTAACGCATTAACCCTCGCCGGACCTATTGGTTTTCTACATACGCGCCGGTCGAGGGGGGGGCGGGTACGACCCCCCCCCCTCGCCGTTTCGCCCCTGGTGGAGCTAGCGCGTCGCGGAAAAAACGAGCGTGTGCGCCGTTACGAGACGCAGAGATTGGTACCCAATTTTAAGGTCCTAGGTCAACCGGTGACCTCTGAGGTCAGGTCAAGTGCCCTAAGGTACGGTTAAGTTTTTGGAGAATAACTTCGCCAAAAACGGCCGCAGAGCCGCGATTTTGGCAGCATCGTGTTCGCCTCGCTCAGGCGCGTCGAATGGTATACTTTTTGTTCGGGTCAGGTCAACTTGGGGTGTTGACCTCAGGTCAAGGTCAGGTCAGCACCCTAAGGTCACGAAGTTGGTCGAAAGGGGTCATGTCGCATATCATTCGATTCGGCAGGTCTTCCTGAGTCCATTGGTGGCTTTCCCGACTCGCTAGCTCAATTTGATCAAGAGTTATTGACGAAAAACTAATATGACCTTGATGACGTCATAAATGACGTCACGCAAGGTCAACATTGCAAAAGTGACGCATCTAACCTTGCAAGGAGTGCATCAAATCACGATTCTGTGTGCTTGAGATAGTTGGAGGTCGTTCCCGGCGCCAGAATAGCAGTTTGAATTTTTCCCCATTGACTTATAATGGTGAGGTCACGAAAATGACCTGACCTCATATGACCTTTAGGAAAAATCCGAGATATACAAGTTGTGAGACTCATAATGGATACTAGATCCTGCAAGTTTCATTTCCCTGTGACATCTCCTCTGGCAGTGAGGGCGTTGCGAAGTTGCGACATCTGAAGACCGTGCAGAGGTTCACTTATGACGTCATAGGTCAGTGACCTGACCTGGCTAAAAAATGCGGTGGGTGTCAAAAGATTCGGCTTGAAGCAAAGGTCAGGTATGCCAAGTTTCAGCTCTCTATCGCCAGCGTGTTCGGAGCTATCGCGAAAAAACCCTATGGGGGGGGGGGGCGGCACCCGCCCCCCCTCGGCCGGCGAGGGTTAACGTCTCATTTAGGTATCTATATCTATGCTATGCTCACTACGGTCAATTCATTAAGAAATTTGTTTCAGACATTGCCGTAGCCAATCCACTGATGCGTTGGACAATACAAACAACATTTATAAAAGTTGTGTTCCCGTCCGTGCGTATAAACAACCCTTATTGCCAGCATCACAGTGACTGGCCAGCATCACAATCATTTGGCATCGATCAATCAAACTGATTTATCTTCAGCCCCTCTGACCCGATCGGGAAAATACGTGGTCTGTAGAAACATAAACAAACAAAGCAATGTATGTAGTGATGCATGGAATGGATAAATAAGTGGCCCGTATCACACGGCATAGCACGCCATACCCGTATTAGTGGAACGGTGTCGCATGCAACCCTATTCTGCCACATGAACGGCTTCTTTGTGAGATAGTACCTTTTAGACTGAAAGCTGTAGACCCTAGCGAAATGCATAAGAACGTGGCGCCCTTACATTGTGATGTGATGACAAAACGTCCCGAATAAAGCTCCCTCCCCTCCCGATTGCACACCTACCTCATATTCATAGAGGTCGAAGTCCACGCTCTCTGGACCATCGTAGAACTGATGTAGGTAGCTTTTGACGCCAAACTCGCAGTTGCCGTTGATTTCGCGTTCCTTCCAGGTAGGTGGCGGCTCTTTGGACTTGAGCTGGGTCATCTGGCCCGCTGGCGAGGGGCCGGCGCCGACCCCACCCTGCCGGAAGAGACCGTGGGTCAGTGAGAAGAGCTAGAAGTTCCGTGGTACCGACGGCGCATTTGTAATCTCGGAATCAGTGTGCAGAGAGGTGGTTTTGACTATCGAGAATGATTGGTCATCCTGCAAGCTAGAGAACAGACTTTCAAAGCACATTAGGGGAGTACGTTTGATGACAGCGCAGTTGGTAGGCGTCAGTGCAGAAATGAGGCTTGTTTGCTGAAAGTCATGATGTCCCAAGAGAAAGAGAGCCAGACAGGCCAGCTAGTTCAAGGGTAAGGGGAAGGGCTGGGGAAAGGGGAAGGGGAAGGGCTGTACTCCGACGGCAGTCGATGCAAGGTCGCCGTTGAAGGTCAAAACCCATTTAGAAATTAGTGGAATTGGACCGGCACATGCTCTGTGACGGCGGAATGCTCGGGTCACCAGGTGGGCTGGGGCGTTCGTCAGCCGTCTGACTCCGAATAAGTTCATTACCGAGCTCCCGGTCCGGCCCAATCCGTCTCTAGAGCGCACCTTTTGCGTCTTTTCCGCTGAGCTGGCACTCCAAGCTTCCCCCCGCGCGGATTATACCCCCGGAGAGGCTCGGTCAAAGGTCGAGGGGCTCAGGCGGTGCCCGCCTGATGCTCCGGGGCACTCGGTCGGAAATTCTCCAGCTAACTAAGGCGGCAACCAACGACCGACTGGCGGCCCGGCCCGTATTTCGCGGTGGCAGCAGTGCTAATTATTGAAGTTCGGCCCCAACCTTTCGGCGTGAACTTCAGAGCTTTCCGACACCTGCTCCTGAGACACATGGGACTTACGACTTTTGGCCGTTTGCTCTCCGTGCAATCTTGAAAAGGCGTTCCCTCCAGCCATATCGTTCGGTTGAACTTAAGGGACAATCGGTAAGAAATGTACAGAGAATGTGTTCGTATATCTACACATCTTCATTTTTCATAATTATTAGAATTTCATGTTCAAGCTGAACTACCAGGTCAGATTGGCTTGCTAAGCAAGACTTCCTGTGCACCCATCAATTCACAATTTGATACCCACTTTGGCCAATTAAGTACCAGACCATCGATTTAACAGTCGCAGGAACATTTTGCCTGGAGCGACGACACCTGTAGCCTTTCTCGCTACAAGCTGATTAACCACTGATTGCCATGCCAGGTTATAAAATCCACTCCAAAACATGGCAAGAGACAGCGAAAAGTTATAGCATGCGAGATTGAGGTCAGCGTCAGCTCTACGACTATTAGTTCTGAACTCCTGGATCGTACTCACTGTCACAAGTCATCCCAAGGTCACGTATTGACAGTTATTAGACAGGATAGGTCCAAACTTTGACCGGCAAACGTCGCTGTCTGATACTAGATGACACGAGCTTTTGTTGAGGTGGTTAGCCACCGTTCAACCAAAGTCAGATGCCATAGATTAGTGAAGTAATTAAAGCTCATCATGTTCAAATTTGGTTAAAAAAAATGTTCCAGTGATCAGAGGGCACATATCTACGGCGCCATCGAGTCGGGTAGTCGATGGTCACTGTCCAGCTCTTCTGATATTTAACCTGCAGAATCAAGAATGGGCTGAACCTGCAAGAGCCTGCATATGCACAAGCACAATTGTCAGTCCCGCCACAGATGGAAGTAATTACTATCGGTTTATACCGCAATGTTTATTTACATTCATTGTCCGTCTGCGGAACTGTTTATCTATGAAACTGTGTTGTGTCAAATACAGAAACTCTGCCCAGACACAAAACAAGAACAAAAAAAAAAAAAACAAACAAAAAAACAACACAAGTTTAAGATATCTTTATTAACTGAAGATGAGTGCGAAAATCATGAAGGATGTTGAATGGAATAGCATTAGGATGGGTATAAGACCAGCGCATTTGCTGAATGAACGCTTATACGGTACCACAGTCATTTCAGGACCTGATGTGGACGTCGACGTTGCAGTGACTTCATTCGAACGGAGAAAGAACACGTAATTGCGGAGCATATAGCATTATACACATTAAATAGGCACCTTTGCAAGCTCATCATCAGCAGAAGTACAGATACCCTTAGCAGAAGTACAGATGCCTCGGCAGCTTTGCATGCTGATTGCTGAGCTCTTCTATGTAATGCACTTCCGCGTTGCACTCTTCAAAGGTCAAGCCTGCGGCTGCGGAATAACTTGGGCCAGACATGAGGACAGGGTGGTGCCGAGGGCCTGCCTCTGACAGAGAGCGGCCATTGCGCCACGTTTTCCCGACAGTTCCCTCGACTAAAGTCACTTCAGAGGCAAGACGCTGCGGTTTGGGGTGTCATGGTGCTAAGCAAGTGCCATGAGTGCTAACATAAACCATAAGGGAGTAGCGTGGGGAGTGAGGCTACTCTGACGCGCGACAAGGAGCTGGGAGGGGATGGTTCAAAACCCATCGGTCGCCGGGGGTCGCGCAGGGCCTCCGATCATCCCCGTGATGGAAGATCGATGACGATCAGAAGGGAAATATGCATGGGAAGAGCCGGACCCGTGTGCTGTAGATGACGTGAAATTGACATCATTTAGGCATCATGTGGTGTGACATGCTGCATGGAAAGTGGTACATTAGAAGAAAAAGTCCTCATTTTCGGCATCAGAGACGATAAGGAGACGTGTTAAGGACCTGAATGCAGTACATTGGAAATAGTTACGTCGTAACACCTAGGCAGGCTCGCGTGATGACAGCCTAAATTGTTTTTGTTTTTTTAAATAGAGTATACGGAAATCCTTAACAATGTGCTATATAAGAGCCCTAGTAGGTGTCACTTTAATGGATACCGAAAGTTTTTGTATTGTGCACTGTCTAGTGTCTTTGCTCTTCAGTCGAGCGATAACTTAAAAACAAAACAAAAAACAAATAGCACTCATACCACTGCCAAAACTATGAATTAATAGTAATTTAGTGAATACTGAACAACACCTCTTAAATGTCAACCTTGAGTGCGCAGCGTTAATAGGTTTTACTTTGATCGTGCTAACGAGAGGGCACGTTTCCTTATGCCGTTGGTATATGTTCTGCCTGCTCAACTTTAGAGACGTCCAGCAGCGTTACTTCAGCTATATTCTGAATTCTGATTGCAAAAAGTTACAGAAACTCCCGGGCTCTGGTGAGTCTGTCTTTGTGAAGTGATGTAGTTACTTAGACATTCACGACATTCTGCACCTTAATTACTCCGACAAAGTGCTTCAAATGAATGTTCGCGCCAATTAGCAAACCTTTGAAAAGGTCAAAACTGTATCATATACATTCCTATGCCAACCCTTATTTGCATGGGACCAGGGACAACATAAAATTCTAGAGTTGCAATATGCATTGCGGCTTAATCAAATATCGAGTAAAACATTAGCAAAGAAGTCGTGACCTGCATTGATTACTGTACTGAGACCAGTGACTAGGCTGTAACTGGTCTGCATTTGTTTACATGGGTCAACCGTTGACCAATTCAACAGATTACAGCTTTCTGAAACACTGAAGTAAAATCATTGCCAAGTTGTCAACACAACTTCTTGTCACCAAATTAATATTCGGTGCAATAAAAACAAAGGTGACCTTATAAACAGAGTGCGTTGCGAGCCGGGCTGCGTTCAAAGCCGAGAGCGGCTGTGACCGCCACGATTCTCTCCGACCCCGCCTGCCGTGCCCAGCTCACCTTCAGCGAGTTCGCGAGGTCATGTCGCCGGCCGGGGCCGCGCTCAGGTCAGGTCAGGTCAGGTCGCCGGGGCAGTCTGCCGAGAGCGCCGTGCCTCCGTCCGTCCTCCGTCCGACGCCGACGAATCAATACTAAAACGGCGGCGCGTCGAGCGAGCGTCGGTCGGGGCGGCGTGGGCGGCCAGCACGGCGGCTCCGCCCCCTCGACCCCCCTACCCGGCGGGGGGGGGGGGTGCCACGGGGAGTAGTCGGCCGCCGCTGATGGCGGCAGTTTTGGACACAGTAGCGTCAGGGGTGAGGAACAGAGCGAGGGCAAGATGAGAGAGACTGAGCTTGATGACATTTTACTCCAGACACTGGTGGAGAAATGATGTTCCTTGGGCCGGGATAGCCTTTGGCTTGTTTCCACGGGACTGGGGAGTCTGGTTGCTACCATCCGTATTCAGATACCTGCCCATCTATGGGAGAGAGAAAAACTCCATTGTCTATTCATTGCAAAGCAGTCTACAAGACAAGTAAGTGGAGGCCTTGCGGTAGGAATGTCATTGCGGGACACTTTTTTCCAGGCTTCGTGAGCTTAAAATTTTCCCGTTCCTCTTTTCATTCCTCCCTGGTCTTCAGCGCCACGGTCACGATCGCAAAACGCATCCTTTGCATGGCGACCGGCGCACCGCTTCAGGCGATACACCGAGACGGTCACCGGCGCAAACTGACACCGCTCTCGACCAATCAGCGTTCAGCTCAGCTGACAGACGCGACGGCCGGCCGCGCAGTACCTACACAAATTGAAATACGCATGGCTGAGGGTAGTCGGGTGGTTAATAACTAATTAGTGATTGGTGATATGATATTTGGAGTGACAGTGATCCGAGCGGTGCGGTGGTGATTTTATTGTGATGATAGTGGAGTGATGAATGTGCGGAAAGTGCTCTTGCAAGCGTGGGTAAGTGTTGAAGCTCAAGCTGCAGCGCGAACTTGAACTGGCTGCGACTTGCACTGAAGTTGAAGTGGCTGGCCGGATAGACGACATCTCAGGAGGCCTTCCATCGGAGAGACTGAGACGACTTCGAGATTTCATAGCGGTGATGTACCGATCCGGCCTCGGCCGATAACTTGATGTTTTTGTATGATGTATTTTATTGTCAACAATTGATCGGCCAAGCAACAGGGGTTGGGTCGGCAGGGAACCCGATTCCCCAACACTCGAAAAGTCACAAATCTCAAGTCAGAGCTGCCAGTGGGCAGTGGAAGAGCTTTTGCCCACCCATCCCTCTCCCTGTCTCTCTTTCCCTCTCTCTGTCTCTGCCTCCATGGCCCTGCCGTCTCCCTCCCCTCTTCCTCCGCTTCCAGTTCCCTCTACTCTGTCTGCTCTGTTTCTACGCATCCACCGGCACCCGTGGCCGCATGCATTCTCTCCGGTCATGCCGCAGGGCTGAGGAATGCTCAGGTTTGAACTGCCCTCTGTAGTTTTGGCGGGGTGTCCACTGACAATTACCTCGGAACAGGAAAGGATGATCGGTCAAAGAATCAGGTCAGCTCAGGTCATCCATGATTTGCCGATTAATTCGTAAATAGACAAATAAAAATGAGCTGCCTGGTTTGTCGGTGCCATCATCACATTATTTCTTTCAATTTCAATGGTCATTTAATATTGTACCTATCCCTCGCTAGGCTCGTTTAGCTGTATTCTAATCGCCATATCATTGGGCACCGGTCAGCCCCTTCTAATAATTTTTCATCAGTTGATCCATGAGATGTTCATTTCCTCCTACATTTATTGAGAGCGTGGGAGGTTCGAGTTTCACATTTGAAAAGGAAACTGAGGAGCAAAAACAAATTAGTGAGGAAATTAGAATCCCTTGCATTCAGGTCGCTACTCGCAACGGTGAGTGGACCACCAACCATCTACATCGACCATTTGCCGACTATTTACAGTAGTCATGCAGATCAATATTTTTCATTTTGGCTTCTTTCAAGTGCCAGTCTAATGCGCGACATTTTCCAAAGCTAGCTTTCAAAAGGCAATGCTCTACCTACCATTTTCTGGACAAAAGCTGGCTCATTACACGGTGACTCCCGGAAGTCATTAAATCGGTCTTCCTGTTTTATTGGTTGGGGGCGGCGCTCGGCGGGCCACAGTGTGGCGCTCATAACCTCATCTGCCGTGCGGCGCGGTCGTCAGAGACGCGGCGGCGGGACCGGCGCGCTGCCCCCGCGGGCACCTGTTCATCTAGCGACGGGCCGGCCGCGGCGCCCACACGGCCGTCGAACGATCGATCTAGGCCGCCGCGCCGCGCGCCGACCGGCCGGTCAGAGGTTGACGCTCCTGCAGGCCGGCCCGCGCGCGATGAGGGCACCAGCCGCGTGTGACCTTGTGCCCGGAGTGGTGTCTCCAGGTGTCCCCCGGGGGTGGCATTCTCTCTACCGCCCGCCCGCCGTCACTGGTGTGACGTGTCACGCTGTGACGACTGTGACGGAGCTTGCGTGACGGGAGGACGCAGCTGCGAGCTGTCTCGGACAGGTGACACTCGCGCAGCGCGTGTCTCCCAGCTAGGAAAGCTCGCGGCTTGGAGCAATGCAGTCCGACTGGTCGCGTTGGTGACTGATGCGGTCAAAAGTCTTTGACTGAGTTTTGTATTACAATTATCGTCCGAGATTTATGCCTATCAAGTAACAAATCTTTAAGTCCTTGCCAGTTGAGAAACGACGGTTAATACCCTCCTCGCTGTTTTCCGAGAACTGAGAAGCCGCCCTACATCCACACGGGAACATCTGTAGGTATATGGAAAAACGATCAGCCGGTATGCCCATATGTAGCGTGAACTGACCCGTATGTGGCGTGAACTGGCCTTTTCACCCATGGCGGGTCCCATTTCGATCAGTGCGCACCGTTCCGCTGAAATGCGTCTGCCCTGGGTGTCGGTGATGAGGCGCATACCACGGGAAAACTGTCCGACGTATTTACATACAGGTCCGTCTGATCTCCTGCTGGGTCGACCGTCACATGACCTAATGCCGATAGATGTAGGACGATCTGGATCCGCATATGGATCTCCTTAGAGATCAGGGATGTAGATGGGCAGGGCCAGGTATGTGCTGCTAATTTTAGATCACTGGTCCGTGTCACGATTAACGAGTCAATTGAATCGAAGCTGCTGAATACCTATGATGGCTGTGGACTTTTGGTAACGGTAACGTTAACGATCTGCCCCAAATGGGTTTTTATCAGATTCTTTTAATCTGTTTACCTTTTTCTGTTTATAGAGTCAAGTTTTGGGCTACCAACCGATGCTTCTGAGCCACGCGCTACGATACGATGAGCCAAGAATCTTTCAATTCTGCCCGCGTCACTCGACTTGACAGTGAGGTGTCGCCGCTCGCGTTTTTACTAGGATCATCTTAGCGAATCACGATCTCTGTGCTTTGGGCGTCCCACATCCACACTGTTGTGATGCGAATATTGAGCGACGATAGCGGTTCTGCATGTTGCCGAGTCGGAGAGGGGACAGGTCTGTTCGTGCGGGGCTCACTCGACGGCCGGTGTGTCTGCAGGAAGGTTCAGCAGCGTGCTCTCACCATGAAGCTCTTTAGCGTTATTGCGCTCCTGTGTTTAAGCGTCAGTGTTACGGAAGGTATCGCGTTCAATTTTCTGCCGTATTACATGACCTTTTTTGAAATCATGCCAATCTTGGAGAAGTGGAAGGTGAGTAAGATATGCTTTATAAGGTGAGTATTATGTATTTGCACATGCTGAGTGATATACTTTTACAAATAGTTACCACTTGTAAAGCGCTAGGCGGTCATGTCTTAGCCAAGGTGCCCATTTCAATTTATTAATATACTATTTGTCGTGGTCTATTGTAATGCATCAAAGCGACATGATGCATCAATATGACAGATAGAGTCGGTCGTTATGAGTTTTATATAGTCATAAAAACGATGCACAGCAAAGGACGCCATCCAGGTGTTCTCATCTCAAGCTTGACATTCGCGGCACGGGCCCTAACGTTCGTTGCTAAGCGCCGCAGCAGATTCGCAATGAGTCCTATCAAATCCTATGGGAAAAGTTGCATTGCAGCTCTTCGTTTGACACGAAGGTAGCTTATGAAAGAGCTCTTTTTGTGCGCAGGCCACTTAGAAGAGATGTCAGCATATATTTTGAATATATTGTTTACATGACTGCCACCGTCGAGCAGACTATAACTGAGTGTTACCATCACTAGCACAGTCACTTTTTGGCTGCTCGCTCGCAAGAACAGCCATGGGTACGATGATAGATGTGTATAGGTATCATGCATCGCATATGTTGTGCAATGTACATTTTTAACTAGCGTTGTACCGATGTAATGTACCACCACTGTGACAGTGTATGCGAGCATGTTTTTGGCCCTCAGCCTGAGAAGCACTTCCAGCATTTTTCATGGGTCTTATTTACAAATTCCTAGTATCAGAATGTATATTAGCTGTCTTGCGGATAACATTCGATGATCTGTGAGTGTCTACTTTTTATTAGCTGTTTTTATTTCGGCTTATGACCCGTCAGATCATTTGTCACTATAATATGTATATCCCTCGCCGGCCGAGGGGGAGGGGCGGGTGCCGCCCCCCATAGGGTTTTTTTTTCGCGATAGCTCCAAACACGCTGGTGATAGAGAGCTGAAACTTGGCATACCTGACCGTTGATTCAAACCGGATCTTCTGACACCAACTGCATTTTTGGGTCAGGTCAGGTCACTGACCTATAACGTCATAAGTGAACCTCTGCACGGTCTTCAGATGTCGCAATTTCGCATCGCCCTCACTGCCAGAGGAGATGTCACAGGGAAATGAAACTTGCAGGATCTAGTATCCATTATGAGTCTCACAACTTATATATCTCGGATTTTTCCTAAAGGTCATATGAGGTCAGGTCATTTTCGTGACCTCACCATTATAAGTCAATGGGGAAAAATGAAAACTGCTATTCTGGCGCCGTGAACGATCTCCAACTATCTCAAGTACACAAAATCGTGATTTGTTGCACTCCTTGCAAGGTTAGATGCGTCACTTTTGCAATGTTGACCTTGCGTGACGTCATTTATGACGTCATCAAGGTCATATTAGTTTTTCGTCAATAACTCTTGATCAAATTGAG